CTCTGTGCGCACACTCCAGGCCCGGGCCACGCCTCCAGGCCCTTGCTCCGCGGGTCCCTAGGCCATGAACCCCCGTCCCGCCCCACATTCAGATTCGACTTTGGCCCCACCCGCCCTTCCTCTGAGAAGCCGTCCCTACAAGACCCCGAAGGAGGGGGTCGTCTGTGGCTCTGGCCCCCTTAAATCTCTGGGTGGACCCGGTCCGGCACACTGCAGGTGGCAGAGACTAGACAACCCTGAGGTCTTTGCTCCGGTCCTGCCCCGCGATGTGGGACTTTGCCCTCCGTGGTTCGGACTGATTCACTGTCCACCACCCCTCCCCCAGCCTGGGCAAAGGCTACTATCCGAGCAATGTCCAAGACCCAGCCCCTACTGGGCCATCAGGCTCTCCCCGCCAGCTGCATTATCCCCAGTCCAAGGAGAGCAGATGGTCAGGGCTGGAGGGCCACTCTGTACTCGTCCCCACCATGAGATTTCAAACTGTCATCCAACACCCCGGACCTCTCCTTTCTTTTCTCCCTCCACCTCCCCTGTGCTCACTCCAGCTACCCCCGTCTCCAAGCTGTTCTTCCAATGCCAAACTGGCTCACACCTCAGGACCTTCGTCGATGCTGTTCCGTCTGTCTGAAATGCTGTTCCCCTTAGTCTTTTCCCCTGGCCTCTTCCTCCTGTTCCAGATTTAGGCTCAAATGTCACTTCCTTCAAGGCTAAAGCCGCCCCGCAGTCCCTCTGTTTGTCTCTGTTTCATTTCTCCCCTTCAAAACATCACTTCACCACCCCTCTCCCCAAGAGAGTGAGAGCTGCATGGGCAGGGCCCAGCAATGGCTAGTCCCTGTGTCCCTTGTGCCTGGAACAGGGCCTGGCACACAGGAGGGGCTCAAAACAAGTTTGTTAAGTGAATGACTTCCCTGGTGGGCAAGAAATTTGTACTCCCAACTTGGTTGAATACAACCCCAAAGAGGGGGTGTCTGCACGCATGCACCTGCAGACCATCAGCACAAGGTAAACCCCTCCCCCTCCAGGGCTTTGCTTCCCCATCTGTTAACCAACAACTGTACTGAACAAAATGTTCTCTGAACTTTTGAGGATCCAGAAATGCCAACCTACAGGACACTTATGTGACCCTGAAGGATACAGTTTTCTACCCATGTTCCCCGAAAGAGCTCCCCATCATGGGAGGCATGTAAGCGGCTGCCAGGACATTAGATTGTAATTCTCGAGAGTCTGGACTCCGGATGCCAGAGAAGTTTGTCCCCTTTTGGGCTGGGTGCCTTTGAGCCAGTGATGCAACCTCCTTTACATCTCCATTTCCTCATTTGCAAACTAGCCTGGGCCTCCCAGCCTGTGGTGAGGCCACGTGAGGTACTTGTGAATTACTTTGCAAACACCAGGCATAGGTGGATCAAGGTGAGAAGCTTTGTTGTAATTATTAAATAAATTCACAATTTGGAGGTTGCTGCCGAAATATCTGTGCCCAGCACCACAGGGTCCCCACCCAGCCAACCGGCCCCTGTTAAACTCACCCCCGTCCACGGCGAGGCAGGCTCAGTTCCTTCTGAAAGAAGATGAAAATGGGTCATTTCCAGAGAGACAAGCCCTTCTCACCCCTGGCCCTCCACCCATCTCACACCCCAGTGGCCCCATGCTCACCCTGCCCCAGCCTATGGCTTCTTTCTGCTTTCCCCTCATACTGGGCTCAGCTCTGCCCCAGAATCTTTGCACCAGCTGTGTCCTCCGCCAGGATCACTCTCCCTCTGGTGCTACTTAATTGCAGCTCACATCTCAGGTCTCAGCTCACTCACCCCTTCCTCCTGAAAGCCCTCCTGGACTCCCAATCTACCTCCTTGCCCAGCTCACACCCTATTTGTATGACAGATAACTCCATTATTTAAGATAAACTAGTTACATTTTAAAAGACGTATGTCAATAGTGGCTAACTACTAACAATCTGTTGAGAAAAGAGAGGTTCCCGAGACAGCCTCACCCCGACCCTCTCAGACCTGAAAGCCATTCCTCCTTCATCCTCTGCAGAGCCCCTTCAGGTCTGGGTCGTGGGCACTGGTGGGAAGTAGGGCGCTGACCAATGACTCACCACTGAAGACCCTTTTGGAGCTCAGCAAGCTGACCTGCCTCACCCTGGGTGCCCTCACACAAGAAAGACAAAAAAAGTGCTGTGCTTGGGGTCCATTGTGACCCCAGAGTCCACCCTCAACTGTGGCTCACCCAAGAGGGTTTTTAAATTCTCAGAAGACGGTGTAGCACAAGTTTAGAATCTGGGGACACTGAGACCTGGGTGATCTGTTCTCTCCTGGCTGTGGGACCTGGAACAAGTGGCCTGTACTCCGTGCTTAAGTTCTCTCTTCTGCAATTTGGAGATAACATCAGGAGGGTCCGGGGTAAATCAGCCATTCTTATTTTTATTATTGTTGTTGTTGTTGTGTGTTGTTGCGCTCAGCAAGAGTCTCCACAGACTATCAGAATAACTAGTAAATTTTACATTTACCGAGCTGCCTACTGCGCATCAAGAGCAAGGTCTGTTTTTGTTTGTTTTTTTACAGGCAGAGAAACTGAGGCGCGGAGGGAAGCCAGCCGCCCATGCCTCTTGGCTGAGAAGGCGGAGAATCCAGGTCTCTGGACACCTCCCGCCCCCCCCGCCCCAACACACACACACACACACACACACACACACACACACACACACACAACAGAAGCCGGGGCGGTGGCGTCCAGGACACATGACTATTTTTACCTAAGGTGGGCTCGGGGCTGCCCACGTCCAGAGTGGAGCGTTCTCTGTGGCAACCAGTGACGTCATTAGCCCCCCCCCACCAATTGAGGCTGACCTGCTACCCTGAGGTCTTCGTCTGCTTAAATACCTCTGGGGACAGAGAGCTCACTACCATTCAGGGCAAGAGGTTATAGATCCAGAACCACCACCGCTACCACTAGGGTCTCCTTCTGCCCCTATTGTAATGGGATCTTAGGCCAGCTCCCCTCTCCGCCCCCCAACTCCTACTACCTGGAGAAACAGGGAGGAGCTGGGATCTGAACCAGGGGTACCGACTGCATCCTTCCCTGTCCCAGCCATTTCCTTCCAAAGCCCCCGACAGCCCTGGGTTCGAGTCCGGCTACCCCCCATCTGGGCAGTGTGAGCCCCGCCAAGCATTTCACCCCTCTATGCCTTCGTTTCCTCGTTTGGAAAACGGCCCAGTTACATAGGGTCCTGAGAGGAATCAAGGAGCAAGCTCAGGGGTGGCTTCTATAAATCTGAGTCAAGACAAATTTGTGAGGTTAATAATAACCACAATTTATTAATTTGCTTCCAAAACACAAAAAGATGTGAGGTGGCAGAGAGAGGTAAGGGGAAGATGAGCAGCCCCCCTACCCCTTCACTCCCCCTCCCAAAGGCTCCTACACAGAACTCTCCAGGCACCACCCCCAAACCTTGGCTCCCTGCATCATCTGCTTCTGCCCTCAGGCCCCTCTCTATATATATACTAGAGCCCCATGCGAGAAATTCTTGCAAGGGGCTCCGCCCTCCCGGCCCTGGCTTCATCTGGAAGGTCATCCAGAACGATGTCCAGAAGGATGTCTGGTCTAATTAACATATTACTCTTTTATTATTATAGATATTTTTGTATTGACTTCAGAGAGGAAGGGAGAGGGAGAGTTAGATAGAAACATCAATGGTAAGAGAGAATCATTGATTGGCTGCCTCCTGCACGCCCCCTATTGAGGACTGAGCCCGCAACCCAGGCATGTGCCCTTGACCGGAATCGAACCCAGGACCCTTTAGTCCACAGGCTGAGGCTCTATCCACTGAGCCAAACCGGCTAGGGCCTCAGGCCCCTCTCAACTGGCTGTTCCCCACAGAGTGGAGTGGCTCCTGCCTGGAGGGGAGTAGGAAGGGGACCATGATTCCCTGGAACTGCCTTTTAAAAATAATATTTACAGCCCAAGCTGGTTTGGCTCAGTGGATAGAGTGCCAGCCTTCAGACTGAAGGGTCCAGGGTTCGAGTCCAGTCAAGGGCACATGCCCAGGTTGCGAGAGGGGAGTAGGAAGGGGACCATGATTCCCGGAACTGCCTTTTAAAAATAATATTTACAGTCCAAGCTGGTTTGGCTCAGTGGATAGAGCGTCGGCCTGCGGACTGAAAGGTCCCAGGTTCGATTCCGGTCAAGGGCATGTACCTGGGTTGCGGGCACATCCCCAGTAGGAGATGTGCAGGAGGCAGCTGGTCGATGTTTCTCTCTCATCGATGTTTCTAACTCTCTATCTCTCTCTCCCTTCCTCTCTGAGATCAATAAAGATATATTTTTAAAAATAATATTTACAGCATCTTCTTCTGTGCTTGGCTGGGCTTGGCCATGCTGCCTCCCCTCCAGAAGTCTCAGCTCCACCCTGAGGAATCCCCAGTCGGGAGGAGACAGAGCAGGACATAGATACCCCATCTGGAGGCGTTAGAGGGGACCCAGGGGGAGAGAAGGGGCTGGAGGGGGGTGTCAGGCTGGGCCAGCAGGCTAGTGGGAAACAGTAGGCCGGAGGTGTGACAGCAAGGTGGGCACCGAGCCCCGTGGGGAGTTCTCCGCTGGAGCCGAGCGGGAGGGATGTCATCAGGGACCACATGGAAGGAGCACTGGGGCTTCCGGGGGGAGAGTAA